TCAATGCTTCGTTCTCGATTTGCATGTTGCTACTGATGGACTCTCTCTCTTTATCGCATTCTCATCCCACTTATTTACTATGACTCCATTCATTTCTCTCTCTCTCACTCACCCTTCTCTTCCCTACCTCCCACTCTCCTCCACTCAACCTCCCCTTCTTCCCTCTCCCAACTCCTCCTGCCACTCCTCCTCCACTCCTCCCCTCCCTACCACCTCCTATCTCTTTCCCTCCATCTGTCCTCTCTCTTTCCTCACCCCCTCCCACACACACCTCAATTCTTAGATGAGCATGTGATCAACATGAACCTGTTAGCTGACCTGTAAGCTGAGGAAAGGGAAAGGTCTTTGAGTTACGCTGCAGGTACAGTGCATTCTTATTAAGTTCTGATTCTTGTCCCATGTTGTTGGCGCAAAGGAGAAACATCTGAGCGAACCATCATTATTGGCGCTTTGATCTGTTGGTTCCTTGATGGTGGTTCGGCTATGACGCTCATTACTGAGCTGGCAGGTGGAGGCGCAGTGAGTCGCCCCTCTCTGTAATGTCCTCCTCAGCATTTACCTGTCTCGTCTACACCTGCCTGGTGTATTACTTTCAGGGGTAGTAGTTAGGTTACCTGGTGTTTAAAAGTACTATTGACAATAATGATAAAAATGCTAAATGATGATAATAATAGTCACTATATCACTTTTGCCATTTACGTCAAAACTACCTGCATCATTTACCACCCTGTCTACATCATATCACTGCATCGTAACAATATTAAAACTCTAACTTCTTAGCTTCTTAACACATACAACACAACACAACACAACACAACAACACAACTTTAACCCAACCTTGGGGGACTCACGAGGGCTGCCTCACGTGCCTTACCCGAACAACAACAAACTTGGTTATCAATCCTGAGTTTGATGTGATGCAAAATGAGACCTAAGCCAAGCCGCTGACCCTGCAAGAATCCTACTCTTCCCATCGCTGACTACTACTTACTGCCTTCCAGTCTTATGGTTTTTTCAGGGTTTACGTTGGTGTTTATAGTCAGGATACTTTATAGAATGTGTCTGTTATGAGAGTCTCTTGTTGTTGGTATTCTCTCTCTCTCTCTCTCTCTCTCTCTCTCTCTCTCTCTCTCTCTCTCTCTCTCTCTCTTTTTTTTTTTCTCTCTCTCTCAACGAATCAGCTGTCGTATCAAGCCCCCACCACCCCTCTAATGTTATGACTCATCTCACCTTATGTTTTTGTGAGGTCATGAATCAAAGAAATCCCCAAGTCAAGGATTGGTCCGGTTATGGGAAGTTTTCTCAGCGGTTAAAAGTCGTAGTTGTTATTCAACGACGCTTCGAATTGGGAGTGTGAATAAGATTAAGTAAAGTTGTTATGAGACGTATAAGAAGAAGGAAGTGGAATAATATATATAAGGGGAAGAATAGCAGTAAAGGTAGAAAGAAGAGGATGTTGAATAATGAAACAGAAGAAAAAGAACAAGATGGACTGGGAGAAGAAGACGAAGAACAGGAATAAGAAGAATAAGAAAAAGAAGGAGATTGACAAAGGACATCTTGAGACGTAAAGGAAGACGTATACGTATGAATGGAGAACGAGAAATGATGATGATGATGATGATGATGATGATGATGATGATGATGACGATGATGAAGGTGTCATTCCCATACCTTATAGCCTTCCGATAGATCAAAACATTCTACATCAAAACACCTTCAAGTCCTTAGCCATAAGAGGATGACACCGCCTCACTGAACAACCTATGCAGAAGAACGACCTTATTGGCTCTCTCTCCCTGTACCACTAATTAACACACACACACACACACACACACACACACACACACACACATCCTCAGAGTAATCAAAGACAGTCTACTCATCTCTATAAGCCTTAGTTTGGAGGTCTTACTCAAGGCGATAGCTGGAGGAAGGACTCAGGAGCGGGGTGGAGAGGGGGTTGTCTATAAAGCTTAGTTAGGAGGTATTACTCAAACAGACAGGTAGAAGAAGGACTCGGAAGGTCTTACTCAAGGATACAGAACACGAAGGACTTGAGAGGTCTTCTATAAGTCCTAGATAAGAGGTATTACTCAAGAGGACAGAAGGGATGAAGGACTCTGGAGGTCATCTGTGCCTCAGGAGGGGAGTTTTATCCCGTCAAGGAGGCTACAGGAAGTACTTAAGACCATCGACGGGTTTTACCAAGTACTCTAACAGTCAATTAGTGTGGAAACCGGCACCTAGAGTGACTTTTAAGGGCTGTTAAGTGGCTGTACGATATCGGATCGTGTCATCGTTAATGGTGGCGGTGGCGGCGGCGGTGGAGGCGGCGGTGGTGGCGATGGTGGTGGTGGTGTGGTTGGTGCGTGGGTTACTAATGGGCGCGGTATAACTCACAATGTGGGTGTCCTGGAAGTAGGCGTGACATGAATCTGAGTTTGGGCATGTTGGTGGGCGGGACATGAATCAGTGTGGGCGGTCTGGTTGGAAGGGTATGAGTCACCGTGGGCGTGCTGGTGGGCAGTGTATGAATCAGTGTAGGCGCGCTGGTGGGCAGGGCATGAATCAGTGTGGGTGGTCTGGTGGGCATGGCATGAATCAGTGTGGGCGTGCTGGTGGGCAGGACATGAATCAGTGTGGGCGTGTTGGTAGACAGGGTATGAATCAGTGCGGGCGGTCTGGTTGGAAGGGTATGAATCAGTGTGGGCGGTCTGGTTGGAAGGGTATGAATCAGTGTGGGCGTGCTGTTGGGCAGGGTATGAATCAGTGTGGGCGTGTTGGTCGCCGCTCG